CCCGTCCTTCCTTCCTCCCTTCCTTCCTTCCTTCCTTCCTTCCTTCCTTCCTTTCTTCCTGCCTTCCTTCCTTCCTTCCTTTGTTCCTTCCTTCGTTCCTTCGTTCCTTCCTTCGTTCCTTCCTTCGTTCCTTCCTTCGTTCCTTCCTTCGTTCCTTCCTTCGTTCCTTCCTTCCTTCCTTCCCTTTTGTCCTCATTCCTTATTCCTACTTTCTTCCCCCCATAGATAACCACTCAAACATGTTTAATGTGTTTCTTTTTGTGTGAACATGTTCTTGAAAATATGGATTATTGATATTGTTTTAAATTTATTATAAAAATTAATACATATACTAGAGATAATAATACAATAACCCCCCATATACTTATCTCCTAGACTTGATAATTATCCAGATTTTGCCTTGAAGTTTTGCTTAAATCTTTGCCCAAAATACATTGTCTCATCTTTCTCTTTTTTCCCTTTGTTGAACTAAGGGAAATCCCAGACAGCGTGCCATTTCACCCCATGTTCTTCAGTTATGCTTCCCCTCCAACACTGAACATTTTCCTACTGCAATGCCATCATCACTCCCAACAAAATGAGCAATAATATTTAATATCCCATTTATAAACAAATTTCTCAAAATATCTTTGCAGTTGGTTTTTCGTGTGTGTGTGTATTTCTTGTAGGCCTTGCTCTGTTGGTCCTCTTTTCACCCAGCACTATGGTTTTAAGGTCCAGCCAGGTTTCTCTATGAACATGGAGCTGCTTTAACTACTATGTGGTGCTCCATGGGGCATCCTGTGCCCTTGGCCTCTCCACTCTCCCATGAAAGAATGCCCTACTGTACCCAATTCCCATCCCACAAAACTGTGCTGCAGTGACATCCTCAGCCTTGTCTTCTTATGGATTTGGTGAGAATCGTTTTAGGTGATATACCTAGGAGCCAAGAGTGGATTTACTAGGTCATAGGGTATAAATATATCTATATCAGTTTGACTAATACAGCCATAGTTTTCTCAACAATGTCTGCACCAGTCCATGCTCCCACAAGCAGTGCAGGAGGTTCTTATATACCCATATGATTGACACTATCAAGCTGTCTAACTTTTGCTAGTCTGACTAAAGTATTATCTTGTTGTTTTATTTGCATTCATCTGGTCACTAAAGAGTTTGAGCACCTCTGCATTTGCTGATTTGTCTTTAAGATTTCCTCTTATATAAAATTGTCTTTTCATACCATTTGGTCATATTTCAATTGAGGTGGATGCCTTTGTGGATGCTGATTTGCAAGAGATCCTGGAAGATTCTATCCTTAACTAGTTTTAGACCTTGTAAAAATATTCTCCCATTTTGTCAGCTCACTCTTAACTTTGTTTACCTCACTGAACAGAAATCTTTCCTTATGATGTAATTAAATATACCCAAGAGCAAGAGTTTGAACTCGATTCAGTGGGCACTAGGGAGTCATTGTAGGTTCTTGAACTGGGGAGTGACATGATTTAAGTGATTCATTTGGGAGCTAAATACAGGAGGGACTGGCTGCAAAGAGGCAAATTGGGAATCGGCATGTAAGTGAGTTAATAGCAGAGGCAGGTGGACATAAGCCTCACCCTCGCAGGACCTCCAGTCAGCATGGGAGCCAGTTGTTAACAAGAGTGATGAGTATTTTGCAGGAAGTGGTGGGAGCAAATGGCGGGTGGGGTCACGCAAGTCTTCCCAGAGACAGAGATTTGCCTTGACTCCAGAGACAGAGATTTGCCTTGACTCTTGAGGGAAATGTCTTGAGGGAATAAGGGTCTGGAAAATGGAAAACATCCAAGAAATATCCTGAAAATAAAGTGGGCAAAATTTGCTCAGTACAGTCAAGTGACATGGTAGAAAGCCTGCTGAGTGGCAGGCCACCTGGTGACCTCAGAAAGATGTATCTTTTCCAAGGACCTGGGCCCAAAGCCAGATGACAGGAGGTGAGGAAGGAAGGGCTGGTTAACAAGCAGAAGCAGGAGGTGTGGGCCACGGTCTGGGAGCTCGGCAAGAACAGAACAGGCAGACACTGTCCAGCTGACTTTTTTCCAAGATGGACCAGAGAATGCTTTGCAGGCTGAGAGGACACATTCATAGGCCTGCAACAATCTCTCTCTTCCTGTAAAACATATCTTAATATTTTCAAGTTTCAAAAAGAATACTATAAAAAAGAATATTATAAAACACTTAAAATTATAGAACTATTTTATATAGAAAATTAAAGCCTCCAATAATCCCCCTCAGTAACCATTGTTAATAATTTAGAGTATAGTCCTCCAGATTTATTTATATGTGAACACTAATTTACATATATATTTTTAATAGGGCATATAATTTTTAAATAGAGTTTTGAATACATGAAGCAAAAATTGATGGAACTAAAAGGAGAAATAGATAAATACATAATCACAGTATAAAAACATAACCACTCTCTCAAAATCCATAGAATAAGTAAACAGAAAATTATTAAGGCTGAAGAACATTATCAACCTACTTAACATAAGTTACATTTTTAGAGAATTTCAATCAACGATAGCAAAATACACATTTTCTTCAACTGCACATGGATCACTCACCAAAATAGACCATGTTCTGTGCCATAAAACAAACCTTAAAAAATGTAAAAGAACTGAAATCATAGAAAGTATAATCTATGTCCACGACAGAATTAAATTAGAAATCAATAACAGAAAGCCATCTGGAAAATCTATAAATATTTGGAAACTAGGCAAAGCAC